TCATGTCAAAATCATACCTAAGTTAGCCTTTCACTCGTTCATCGAAGTGTGTCTTTCATTACAGCTCGTTCCATTTGATTAATTTTATGACGTCTTTTTTATTCTTATTCAAGAGCTAGTTTTCGGAGTAATTTTAATCCAGTTGACAAGTTTTATCTTTATTTCAGCCATATCAAAAGATCATAGATAGGACATACGCAAGAAATGCCTTTCAGTTCTAGCTCTTAACTTTTATTATAAACTGTCTCCAACACACAATTGTTAATGATAAAAGTTAATATGGATACATATCAGTGGCATTTTTTACTATTTCTAGGAGTGTGTGGGTAAATTGAGCTAGTATATAGTTAACCTGCAGTAGCAGGGGTCTTAATGGGGCGAGTTAACCCTTTAACTCCTAGGAGTGATTAACATATAACTTCTCCCCTATAATATTCATACATTATCCAGCAAACAGATAATGAGAGTACTAAAACTGATCATGTAGAAATTGCCATCAAGGCGTAGAATTCATTACCCCACCCTCACCCCCACCCCTCTCCTTGTTTTTTTACTGTCGCTTACCCGCTCGGTTAAAACTTCTTTCCCTCCCCAGCCTTCCGCTGCCATTAAAATTAAAGCTGGTGGTCATAATTTTCCCTGAAAAATACTTAGCACTCGCTCACCAAAATTACGCCTGCTCTTTAGGCTGCATCTGAAAAATTGCTTTTATTTCTTTTTTTTGGAGACGTTTTATATGACTATAACTGTAACTTGTAATAATCGTGTCAGATTTTAGGTTGTCTTTCTGGATATCAAAACGGTTTTCCTTTGCCTTTGAATAAAGGAAGTTTGACCACCGCTAAGTTTCCCTTGATTAAGAGTCAAGTACCTGTGCTTAGGAAAGTAATACCTTCCTGTCGAGTTCTTTAGTTTTCACTGTTATATATTTCAAAACTTGATAGAAGGATTTACAGGTTGCTTCCTTTCACTCCTTCATTTACCCATTGATTTTGATTTTCATTTACTGATTGATTTTTTAAATTTTTAAATTTTCTATTACCAGTCAAATCAAATGGAACATTGAGTTAGTTTGGGGTATGGAAATTAGCAAAAGCTTTAGAGAAAAGATTCTTAGCCAAAAAAAAGTTCAATA